AAGATTCACTGATACAATCTCGCACTTCTACAGCAGAACTTAGATATACTAAGCCATGAAAACTTGAGTAACGTTTTCACAGCTGCATTACAGTACTGTTTACATCAGGATCTCAGAAGTAAGTCATTATTCTATCATTTCCATCCTGCACGTGGTTCTCTGGTTATTGACTCATGAGCCAACACACGAACTTACTTAGAAGCTTTTCTGCCCATTGTTAATAATATGAGTTATGATAAAGGCTATAACAACATTATTTATGTTAAGCAAACACTGCAAGCAAGGTTGCAATTGCCGACAGCACAGCCATTTAGATTTACACATTTTTGTCTGCAAAATCTTGAGGCTAACAACGCATTCAGTTCAAGGAAAGGCAACTCATCATAAGATCAGTCTCAAAATATTCAGCGCTATTTAATGCTTTCAGATATAATACAGCATTTCAATTGACACCTGTAAAGTTCAGTCTGCCATTTCTTCAGTATAAATCCTGGGTTAGGAAATAAGTATATAGATTCACAACATAAATATGTTGCAGTAGCAAACTTGTATGACATCTTTCAAGTTAGAGGAAAAAGCTATTTGTAATTATATACCTCAGGTATGACAAAGGCCAATTTAAGTTGCTTCCAGCACTCTTAACACCTTGTATTTTAAATATGGTCCTCCATATAATTAAGCTTCTTTCCATCCACATGACTTTTTTCTTAATATAATATAACAAAAGTCTTAAAAGGCAAACATTCACACAAAAAATGTCCGAGATATTAAAAAAGTAGCATGACTTAATTGAGACAGTAACAGACCTAACAGACTGGAATGGTTACTTCTCCACTATCTCAACTTGAAACTATGAAAGATTTACACGACAGACATTAATGACTTTCCTAGAAAATCCACTAGAGTACTGATCAAAGAACACTTCTCCATACCTAAATATATATTTAAAAATAAGTAGCAATGTCAAAATGTTTATGTGCTGTAACAAAATGGACCCTCTGGAGCTATTACCGACAAGCAAAAACATAATTGCACTTTTTAGTATATCTTCTTAGGCATAGATTGCTAAGTAATTTAGAAATCCAGCTAAGTATAAGCACTCCAATTGGGAATATCAATGTATGAGAAACAAACATACATGGGTTAGGTAGGCTTTTTTCTTCATCTCCGTAGCAATTGCTCCAAATTCATGCATATTTAGCAAGTACTTTGTCTTTTTTTTATTGCTGTTGGTTTCAGGGGGTTTTTTGGGGGGTGGGGGATTGGGTACTGAACTGGACTGAAAGAGATAGAAAGAATTTGTAACATCTGTTTGCTCCTTCCTTAGGAAGCAAAACAAAATTATCCTCAAGGACCTATTAACAGAGAAGAGCAAGGAAATGACATGCATAACATTTAGTAAGATATAAATTGCAGTGTTCTTGAAAACGTATGTATAGAAATATTCTTAAAAATTCTCATCTCCAATTAAAAATGTGAACTGTTTTCTAATTAATACTTCAATCCTGAAAGACACTTGAAGTTTGAAGTCCTCCATGTCAATGAAAAGATGCACATAAAACCCCAGTATTTATTATACACATTAACAACTAATACCCAGCAACCTTCCTTCCTGTTTCCTGCACACATGACAACTGGAAGAAAGTCCCTCCCAGGCTTGGACTGTCTGAAATACAAATACATGGCTAAAACCACAGCACAGATTTTCAGTGAGGCACATTAGCCATATTGCTTTCGAGTTCTGAGTCTCAGCTGATTTGAAAACCTCAAACAACAATGTTTCTCAAGAATTTGGATTAGGATTTGTACAAATTGCTTCAAGATTAGCATAATGCCAAACCTCCATCAGAAAACACCACACGTAAGGCTGCGCAGCTCAGTTGCACTGCTCATCACAGCTTTACGGAGCACAGTTTGACAACTACTGTCTTTAGGTAACGTGTCTGAGTTTGGAAGGAAACAATCGCCAACACTTGCCTCTTCCTGGGAAGTACACGGAAAACCTCCACATGCAAACTCCCAGTTGTAGGACTTCACACAAAGATATTATTAACATACAGATCTCACATGGCATCTGGAGTAGATTGATTTTGGCCAGCTCTGATGCCCACCCAGCTCCTCAAAAAAACTAGGAGGAGAAAATACAATTGAAAAACTTGCACGTCAAGATGAAAATAAGGAAATAACTTGCCAATTACCTTCACAGTCAAAACAGACTCAACTTAGGAAAAATTTAGTTTACAGCCATTTGAAATAGAAGGTGAGAAACAGACAAAACTAAAACCCTTTACCTCACCCCCATTTCCCTAGGCTCAGCATTACTGCTTCATTCCCCACTCCTCTACCTTGTAAGTAGCACGGAGAGAAATAGAAAGGGGTTGTGGACAGTAGATAACACTACTTCTGCTATGGACTCTTCCTTGCAGTCTCCTGCTCCTGATCAATTCCTTCTTGAACTCCATGAGCACGGGTGATCTCCATAACAGGCCCACTGCAGAGCCCCTGAATTTCTCCTACTTATCACTGCTGAAGCCCCATCGTTATCATAACCTTGCCACCTACACTCAAGTCATTATCGTATGGATAATAAATAAATGAACAAAACCAACAACTAGAATCCTAAATTTACAGTAAAGTCCAAAGGAAAATGTTTCACCACCACTAGCAGATGCTGGACCCTGGCCCCGGTCTACTTAGCCCACTCCCAGTCCTAAATAACCAATTACTTTGCTAGTCAAAGGCAAATAAATATCCTTAACATGCCTAATAGGTTATTCTACTACATTGAAATATGATAAAGTGAAAGAAACATTTTTTTTTTCCCCTGAACTGAACATGTACTACCACGCTACTAAAGATTTACAGCACCCAGAAGTCAGGAGGCATCCTTCGCAATTTTATAGTGAATATTCTTTTTATACAAGTAGTATAATTTATGTACATTTGAACTAGAATGAAAGTCTGTCGTTAAACTATAAGCATTTGTGCATGCAGACTTGCACGTGCCTCTGACAGCAAATAATGTACAGCAACAAATCAGTCTTTACCTCACAACAGTTACTTCTGAAATTAGCTGTTTAGCATTCAGATGAGCTTCCAAAACATTTACTTTTCTTCCATGCCAAGCTTTAAGAAACCAAATCAGGTTCCAGTAACAAAAATACAAGCACAGTTTCAGCAGCACTCTCCTAGACACTTTTTTTTTTTAAACACACTACATTTTCCTGAATTCACAGAAGTTTCAGTCGATTATTGAAAAACACAAAGCTAGCAGCTATGCCTATTAAGGTGTTTAAATTTTATGACAAAGCTGTTTTCAATTGCTTATTATACTGACAAACTAAATGCCCAAAATTCGAATTATCAAATTATTATTCGAATTATCATTTCATATGGCAAACACCTGCATCAGACAGGAACCCCTTTTTTCTAGAATGAGATAAAGAAAAGAGAAAAATAGGATACACTCCAAAAACAGCACAGATTTCTTTAGTTTTATTTACTATGACTACAAGTTGCATTCTACTGAGTAGGAATATGAAATTCAACAGAAACCTGTCTTTGTAAAAGCAGCAATCGTTTATAGCACCCAACAGTAGAAGCTTCTAAAAATGACTATTCCATAAACTGCTAGAAAGTAAGCCCCCTAGCAAGTGCTACATCATTTAATTTGATTTATTTGAAGTCATTGGCCTTTAATCACTCAGTTACCTATGTACTGCGTCTAGAAAATTGTGACATTTTTAAACTGTGCACCCACCATATCTCCTCATACTTTGTTTAAATGGTCAATCATCCTGAAACCATTTTATAAAATGCCAGAGGCTCCCGTGATATTCAAACACTTGAAGGAAAATGGCTAAGAAAGTGATGTAACTCAAAACCCGTTGCTAAAAATACTTTCTTTAAGTCATACAGCAGAATAACAACACATTGAAGGGTGTGACATAGGGGTATCATGGCCAGAATTTTGCTTTCATTTACATAAGACTTGTATGTCCTTTCACCACCCAAAGGAACGTAGCCGTAAGATGATCAAGCTGAAGAAACCAGTATCATGTTGACAGCATACGTACACAAATCCATCACACACTCCTAAATAGTCCTTTGCAAGCAAATAGTCCTTTGGAATTATATACGGATAAACATGCAAGTATAATATTAAAATAAGTCACTATATCACATTGAAAATCTTTCAGACATGATAATCCGTAAAACCATACTATCATTTCTATTCAACTGCTGGTCAATACAGTATGGAAATATCTTGAGAGCCAACTGTAAAGTATTTCATCAACAACAAAAAGCATCCCAAGCTTGGCACTATTCCCTCATTCTATTACCATTCAGCCAAGTACAGAAGCAGTGCTCATAGTACCACATACAGAGTAAGAAAAAGAGCAATTCCACTCTTGGAACTTATTCCTTCCAGAGGATAGGTGGCCTCAACTCCTACTCAATCCTAACTCAAATGAAGGCACTAAGCATCTTCTGCAAGACTTCCATTATGCATCAGGGTCAGACCCTCTTTAAAGAGGCTCTTCATTCTAGGCATATAACGGCTCTTTGCATCAAAGCAAAGTACTCGTACATAAAGGAGGAGAGAACAAAAGAACACTACTTAGTAAACTTAGTTAGAAAAAAACACTAAAAAAACATAATTGGGTCTCAAATGCCATCTTGAACATTAGGACGATACCTCAGTCAAGCAGGGAAATACTGGCTTCAGTTATTCCAGTGTACCCAAAAGAGAAATTCTAGATTTAAAATCTGTGAGCAAAATCTGACTAGACTAATCATGATTCAGCTACAGAATGTTATCATGAAGAACATTAGCATTATAGAAGGCAAACAGTGAATTTTTCATCTCTACCATTCTAAAAATATCATCTTCTTTTCCCCCTAAAAGCACAATGCCAGTAGCTATCACAGAAAAGGATTACTCAAGTTCATACAGATTAAACTAACACATGAATAAAAGCAGTAGGAGAATGAATTACCTTATTTTTCATTAGAAAGAGTAGATTTCCTTTCAGTCAGCACCATCCCTCTCGTTTCTGTATGCAAAGAAGTAAGAGATTAATAAAAACAACCTTTTGTCTTCACACATTAAAAGCTTCTTAAAGAAGATGCATTAGTAATAAAGGTCAGAAAAGAAAATCATTAACAAGCAAAAAAAAGCCAGCTTCACTCAGCATCTGCCTATGTACAACATGCTGTTAAATGTCAGATAACTTCCCAGAAGGTTTACTCTATTCTGCAGCCGAGAGAATTGGTGACTGCAGCAGACACTCCACTGTGTTTTCTGTTTCTCTGCTTCCTCATCATATGGGAGCAGAAACAGAATCTTTAGCATGCTACAGTTTTCACTCCTATCATTTCAAAAGATAAAATATAATCCTTTTAAAGACAAAAACATTCAGTATTCTACTTAGATTATGACACGCTCATCTGGATTTGCAGTTTTCAGAAAATAGTGAGGAAATGAGACCCATCTATTCACAGTCACTTTACTGTTATTATCTTACTACACTTAAAAAAAGCAACTAACAAATGAAAACAGTATTGTATTTGTGTTACACATAATCAAACTTTTAAGAGAAGAGAATGTTTTAGAAATCTAGGGTGGATGGAAAAAAGCTTTCTTACTGAACTAGTCATTTTTTTATTGCATCGTGTTTCCTTCCAAATAAAGTACTTCTGTACCTATAGGTATAGACAGCATAATATATTTATCATAAACATTTCACATACCAATGTAAACTCTTTTGTATTTCTTGAGATCGTGTGTAAAACACGATGTATATAGACAGCAGTCAAACTTCAATTGCTAGGGAGCTGAAAAAGCCATAAAATCATGGTTACCCCACAGCTGCCTCCAGGGAATTTTTGTACTTCCCTCAATGCTGGACCACCAGTAGAGACATACAGCATGAACAGAGGGAAATCTCGTTAAATAAATAGTTACCTTTTATTCTTGATAATTTCAATAGAGATGTTTCAATAGAGAACATCTGAAAATCACAAGTTTTAGCTACAGTCCCTATGACTTACAGTAACTGATAACCCCCTCACTACAGGGAAGACATTGAGGCCCCGGAGCATGTCCAGAGAAGGGCAATGAAACTGGTGACGGGTCTGGAGCACAAGTCCTATGAGGAGCAGCTGAGGGAGCTGGGATTGTTTAGTCTGGAGAAGAGGAGACTCAGGGGAGCCCTCATTGCACTCTACAACTTCCTGAAGGGAGGTTGTGGTGAAAAGGGGTTTGACCTCTTCTCCCAGGCAACAAACAGGACCCAGGGAAATGGCCTCAAGTTGTACCAGAGGAGGTTTAGGTTAGACCTAAGGAAGAACTTTTTGTCTCAGAGAGTGGTCAGGCACTGGAATGGCTGCCCAAGGAGGTGGAGGAGTCACCATCCCTGGCAGTGTTCAAGAGGTGTCCTGACGAGGAGCTGTGAGATCTGGTTTAGTAGCTTGTGGTAATGTGAAGACGGTTGGACTAGATCTTATAGGTAGTTTCCAACCTTATGATTCTATGATTCTGTAACAGTTACAATGTGAGGTATGGGAATTATTTTTGTTTAGTTCTGTGTTGCTGTTGCAGGGGGAGATTGATTTTTAATTATTCTTTATTATTTTTCCCCCTTGGTTTGGCTTATTTAGTTGTTTTTTTTGTTGTTATTTGTTCATCTGTTTTTGGTTGTTTCTGGATCTTTCCATACCTACTAAAGGATAGGAACAACACTGAAGTACTGTAAATTGATGCACATTCACCAGCTAAAATCTAAGCAAAGTTACCAAAGCTGAGATGATGTTTATGAGCAGAAATTTGCAACTCTGCTTAGCCTACGTTTCACTCTCAGAGCCCTGCATCAGCAGAAGGAATCTATTCCTAGTAAAAGGTATTTTTATATACTTGAGAAAATCACTGCCTCAAGCAGAACAAGTAGTAAACCTGAAGATTAGTCATATTTAATGACAAGCCTCTCAATGAAAATAATATACAATGGTCTGAATGCAACCTTTCTAGCAAGAGGACATAGTCTGGTTGCTGTGATCCAGAAGGATTTATTAAGCAAAAGGAACATTCCGTGCATGCACAGTTTTTGAAATGTTTTCCTAAAAATAATCAACAACTACTGACCATGCTAGAGACAGGATATCAGGCTATGTGGATGTTTGGTCAACAAAAGGTGTTTTTTGAAGCAATGCTAACAGTAAATGTATCACTAAACACAAAAAAAACATCCCACTTCTTCCAAACATCATTATTTCATTGGACAGAGCCTGATATGCTGCTTATTATGATAAGGCTGCTAATAACCTATTTAACATACTTACTAATTTCCTTAACAAGGGAACTGAGTGTACCTTCAATAAGTTTGCAGATGACATCAAGCTGGGAAACAGCAGTAATCTGTCTGGGGGTAGGAAGGGCCTTCAGGAAGATCCAGACAGGGTGAATGGTTGGGCTGAGGACACTGGGATGAAGTTCAACAAAACCAAGTGTCAGGTTCTGCACTTTGGTCACAACAATGCCAGGCAATACTACAAGCTTAGGCAGAAGATAGCATGCAAGACATGGAGCCAGGGGTGTTGGCTAAACATGAGCCAGCAGTGTGCCCAGGTAGCCAAGAAGGCCAATGGCATCTTGGCTTCTATCAGAAGCAGTGTTGCAAGCAGGGAGAGATCATCCATCTTCACAGATGCAGCTTTGGTGAGGCTGCGCTTAAGTACTACATTCAGTTCTGGCTCTTCACTACATGGAAGACACTGAGGGCCTGCAGCATGTTCAGACAAGGGCAATGAAGCCAGTGAGGGGTCTGGAGCACAAGTCTTACAGGGAACTGGGATTGTTCAGTGTGGAGAAGAGAAGACTCAGGCAAAACCTTACAGCTCTCAAAAATGACCTGAAAAGAGGTTGTGCTGAAGTGTGAGTCAGCCTCTTCTCCCAGCTAACAGCAATAGGACAAGAGGTAATAGCCTCAAGTTGCACCAAGGATCGTTCAGGTTGGATATTAAGAAAAATTTATTTTCTGAAGGAACGGTCAGATGCTTGAACTGGCTGCCCAGGGAGATGGTTGAGTCATCATTCCTGGAGGTGCTCAGCAAACATTTAGATGCTGTACTAAGGGACATGGGCTTAGATGGGAAATATTGCTGAAAGAAGGACAGCAGGACTATATCTTGGAGGTCTTTTCCATCCTTGATGATTCCATGATGTCAAGGACAGAAGCCTACTGAGAAACCCCAAAGGAGCAAGAAATCTATGTCCACTTAGTAGTCGGCCCAAAAGGCCTGCTGCATCCTCCATCAGAAGCTATGGCTACTCAACTCACTGGTAGAAAACAAAATATTCTTTAAGTATAGCACATTTTTTTCAGCCTCTTATCATAATCAAGTCTGGCCACATTCTTTATCCAAGCAAAATCAAAATAAATGCATCTCAATGAAGACCAGTTGGAACAAGTGAAAAACAAAACATTTGCTGTTGCTGAAATGATAGTATTAAAAGTAGTTCCTATTTAGCTGTGGAATCATTTCCTAACAGCTACCTAGGGAACAGGCATTTGTTCAGGCTTACTGGAAATTGAAAGGCATTTTAAATAAGCTCATAAATGCCAGAGGAAACCTGCAAAGGTGGTGGCAAAGTGAGCCATAAAAAACTTATGACGAGAGACCACAATTTCAGGTGAGTAAGGCTTGAGAAACAGGATAACACTTTAAACATGGAAACTAATAACTAGTGACTTGCAGCCAACAAGTCAAAAAGGGGGGAGGAAAAAAACTTAAGCCTTGAGTACTGTTTCTCAACCATATAACAGAAAAAAAAACTGAGCAAAATGAAGAGCTTGTTTTCACCTTTCTTACTTAGAAAAGTATTTAGCATCACTCAAGCATCAGTAATTAAGACAACTGAAGATGCTGAAACGTAGGTGATTAGTGAAACTGTAAGCTGACATCTGCAGCAAACATGCACATCAACCATGGGCTGTTTTCATTGCATATCATTTTTATTTATTAAGTCTTCATCCCTCAGCGCTCTGCAAATCTTCAGCTTTCTTTCCTTGCCAAAACAACATGATGGTCACTTGACAAACAGTCAGTTTTAGCATTTAATCTCATTGAGTTGCCAGGGAAGAAGATGAAGTAAGTAAATGATGGAGGACAATACTGATGCTAGTTAGTTTGTTGAAGCAGAGCATAATTTAGGCAGCAGATATGAAGGTCAACTGAAATACTGAAAACAAATATAAAAATAGTTTATGTTGCTGTCTGTTATTTCCTTTGAGTTATGTACTACAAATACTTCATAGTATGGAAGTAGTACAAATGATAGGGAAAAATGCAAGGTTGTAAGTGCATCTTCTTCCCCATACAATCACCTAAAAAAATAATACGTTGAGCTTTCCAGAGTCTCTAGAATCTCATACAGAAGTCCTAGTTTGATGCACCTTTTTTTTTTTTTACACAGTTCAATAGTACTGCTAATACGTCTTGACTATAGGTATATAAATAACTTGAAAGCTCAAGTATCATTCATGTGGCAGCTGAAGGGGTAGAAGTTGCCTTGTTCTTTGATCTCCTCCACAAGAACAATAACTCTAATAGAATATGAAGTGTAAACTCTTAAGTTTCATAACTTACTCAAGCACTGATATTTTGTTATGCCATGAGTTATTACTAACTCAGTACTTCCTCTTCATTCATGATATTTTAACAGTTTTCAATTAGTATGGAAAAAATTCAGGACAATAATTATCCCAAAGTACGTTCATCAGAAATTTAACTTAATGGAAGAAATTACACTGGATACATATACAAGATCTTCAGTTCCCTCAGAGCCCCTTCCATTTGTCTGAAATAACTCCGAAGTTCTGTTCGGTAGCCGCAATTTTGGAAACTAGAAATTGTATGGTGAGCAACATTTGTCCAAATTGCAGTTACTACAGCACCATTTCATGTTGCTGCAAAAGGGAGAAAATAAGGACGTAAGTAGTTTTAAATAATTTTTTGTAATCTCCAAAATATTATAGGATCTTAATATCCAATTTTTTGTAAGAGTTGTTCTCAAAAGACATTCTTGGAATCAACCTTATTCAAACGTAAGTTTCTTAGGTGGCTCTTAATGTAGCTGTAATATTACTTAAAGAATCCTTCCCACGAGCAGACTTCGGAGGCCACTTTCCATCAGTGAGTTGGAAGTTCTGCCAAGGACATCATCTTTCACAGCAAGAGAACTACAGCTCTCAACAACTCCTGATCAAGTTTTTCCTCAGTTGCTGAGATGAAGAACAAGTTGCATGATTTGTAGCGTACCTTTCTGTTGGCCCTTTTATTCCCAATTTTCCCTCTTTATATTCTTTATTTTTTTTTACCCCTCACAATTGATGACTTATACCATCTCTTTCTATTCCCAATCAACAAACCACAGCCAATTCCAATAGCACTATAAGACCAAAAGCAGACCGTGTACAGAGTAATACTTGCACATTATGAAAGATGGACAATCATAAATACAGTGGTCAGAAGACAAGTCTCCAAATAGGTTTTTCCCCACTAGAAGGGTGCCACAATTCTGTGATGAATTCCCATAAAGTTTAAAACTATTCCAAGTTTGCTTTTCCTTACCGAATAACTTCACAAGCAAGAAACAAGAACCTTACAAGCAGTCCCATCACATATCTAAGCATTAGAAA